GAACGTGTTGAGTGGTGACGTGTATGTGCTTTTTGCATGTGTGAGAAACAGGAGTGAAACGGAACATTAAGAACAGAGAAGTGTGTGTCTGTGAGAATGCACAGTACAATGTCCTTGCATGTGCCTCGAGGCCTGTACTCAAACAAAATGCCCTTGAAATCTAATAAAAAACTGCTAAATGAAAAGACAGTGGAAAGGGCTTTGGACTTCACACTCAGCAGGGCCGTTAGTAGGAAATATAGCAGCACACATAAACACAGACAAACAGTGCACCACAGTACACTGCGGTCATTAGTAAGGGCTTCTGACCTTCTGAAGCCATCTGCTTGGTGTTACTACGCCGGTCTCAAATCTCTGCATGTCAGTGAGTGTCAGAGCATGTACTGTAGAGGAACCTTATGTCAGATTTAATATCCACTCAACAGCAAATTAAAAACAGGCCTCCAGTGTCGGATAAGTTGTGACAGTAACAGCGTGTGGAAAGTGGTGGTCAATGGAGGAACATTAGTTGTGTTAGAAAGAAGGAATAGATTGTTAATTTAATGGGAGGGGGGTCCCTGAAGGGGTGATGTCAGGTAGGTGGAGAAATGTAACTGAAGTGACAGATGTGGGCAACACCCTGATAAGTAATGCATAACAAACATTCTTCTGAGACACATCCAGAGATGTGTAACACACACAGATGCTTGATTTTTACACTGTTGTTTCTAAGTTTGGCTTTTACTCTTGATGTCTATCCTCCTAAGCTTTTAATTTTATTATTTTTGCATGCCCACTTTTGACTCTGACTTTGACTTAATTTTTTACCATGTATAATAACGCAGAAACTCCTGTTACAATACAATACAATACAGCATGTTTGTTGTTAGTGAAAAATGCGTGACTACATCAACCCGTATAAAGTATGAGTAAGACAAATCCAGTGGTCATCTTGTCTTACTATCCCTCCACAGTCTGGGGATGGAAAAAGAAGGAATATTAAGCTAAAGAGAATGTAACTTTGGAAGATACTCACTTGATTTGTCTGAGAATGCCTCATATTAGCTTCAGATAAACTTTTAAAAAAAGTTTTACACAGAACAAGGACTGTGGATTTTGTCCCCAATCACCTACATTGTAATTAGGAAGGGATCACTTGTTTTTTTCTTTTTTCTTTTACCTTAACCAGATAAGTCAATTGAAAACCAAAGTACCTTAAAGTCCAGCATGAAGAGGAGAAATGATCACAGCAAGCTAAAGGGTTCATCGCTTGAAAACAGACTTGAAAAATTGTGAACCTATCCTTTAAAACAAGGGACATTATAGAGAATGACAACATGTAAAACAATAATGACATCACCTAAGGCATGAATGACATCAAATCTGCATTTTTCTGTCTAGTGGTGAAAGTGGTTCTGGGAAAACGGAGGCCTGTAAGCACATAGTGAGACACCTGACAGCCCGCTCCAGCCCCAAAGGCTTTGCGCTGGAGCCCAGGATGAAACACGTAAGTCTGGGCAGTCATCGGATGGGGGTATCCTAGAGGGTTTTGTTGCTAAGGAACATGTGATGTCCTGGGCTTCAGTATGAAAGCTTTGTTGCTGTCATGCTCTTATTTCTTTGAGCCTGCAAAATGCTAGAAAAATAATCATATAGTAGAGATCTGTTCTGTTGTTCATTTAAATTTCTGTCTTGATTGAGAAATTCAAGAATATTTGTGTGTTCTTCAAAGCGAGGCACTGACTGAATTTGACATCATTTCTCTCTGTGCTTATGTCTTACCGTGTTCATTGTTCCTTCCCCAATGCCATCTCTGTGATCAAAAATCAGATAGCACACATTATAGTGCGGCAATTTTCATAGCTGTGTTAATCTCTGTCGCTGTGGTGCTGGGAAAATAGATGTATGGATAAGTAGACTAGAGTATGGGGCCTTTACTGGATCTCTTGTCTTCTCCGCTTGGTAGCTGCTTATTTATCAAAGACACCATTTCAGCATTCAGACCCTGTGTTTGATTGCATCATCAGAATTTCCACTAATGTGTCTCTTATGATGCTGTTCTTTAGGACACAACCATTTGCAGCAGAGAAAATTGTTTGGGGTGTTATTCTTAGGCGCAGTCCATTTTCCCTATACTATTCAGCCAAATGAAGGGGTATTAATAGTACAGTACAATATAACAGCAAACATCCATATCCCCTCCATGGCACATTTTACAGTAAATCAGGATAGGCTACAATCATAGAATAGTTTGTCACCACAAATTTTGCTTGGAAATATATACTTACAATTGTTTATTTTGATTTTAACTGTTTCAGAATTTAGTATCTGAAATCTGACATTCAGGTCAGTACATGATGGCTGCTTATTGTATTCCCAGATGTGCAGTTGTGGTTGTTTGTGGTGCTTAACACATGATTCACATGGTGTGCACCCAGTCTATCAGTTGGGTAACAAAGCAGTGTGTAGCCTGGGAGTGTGTTCTGATGAAGTCATTGTTATGTAGTCAATAAGTGGGTCAGCTTGCTCTCTGATCATCCTGGGATACAAAAAATACTGAGCACCCACATAATGGTTGCATACTGACGCCTAGTGGTAGAAAGTAAAATGGGTCCAGAACTCCCTTTCTCTGGTCTAGAAATCTGTGTACTGTAGAAAAGATACAATGTGTGAATTGAGACCATTATTTTGGAGAAAAGCATAAAAAAAAACAAATCACTGGTAACAAACATTTGCTTTGGTTTGATTGAATATGCAGGTCAACTGTATTCTGGAGGCCTTTGGTCATGCAAAGACTCTAAGAAACAAGAACTCCAGCCGCTTTATCAAGCTGTTGACCATTCAGTACTGTGACAAGAGGAGGACACTGCTCAGAGGTAACCCACATTACTCTCAATGTAGCACTTGATGTCGATTGTTAGTGAGTAGGCTTTACTTTCCCTTTCATAAAGTATTGTCTTTATTCCCAGAGTCTACATACAATTTCTATATTCCTGTTTAGTTTTGCTATACCTAAAATTAAACATTTAATTTTTTATCCCTTTTTTATTCTTAATAACTTAATTTAATAAAAGATTCTTTGCCAAGACAATGTGCAAATATGAATTATAGGCACATTGCTTCTATATGAGATCAGGTGCACAGTAGTGAAGCACCAGCAGGGGGCAGTAAAAGCCCATAACTCTACTCTTACTTATGTTTCTATTTGTGCTCCATTTTTTTTTACAGCCCTGCTCACCTTATTTTACCCCAGTTAATTCGATCAGTGAGCAGTGGTCACAGATTGAATTTTCTGTTTTTTACTACCATCAGCATTGTTGAAATGTAATTTACACTCCTGTTATTGAAGTATAAAACACATCTGATGTTTAAGCCCGTGTGTACACCCACATGCTGGAGAAGTCTCGCCTGGTCCACCTGCGTCCTCACCAGCACAGCTTCAACATCTTCTATTTGATGGCTGAAGGCCTATCGCCGGAGGAGAACATTGCACTTTACCTCAACAATGTCCTGGCTCATAGGTACGTGGCTGTCACCTGCCGTATGCATATTAATAGTTCATAAAATCACTGGTGAAATTGGACTGTTGGTTCTGTTTAGTGATCTTGCCTACAAGAGCTGGAAAGTTGAATGATGCTTTATGTGTTTGGATCCTTACAGAAAATACATTTTACAGACCATAACCTGCTCACATGAAGCACATGCTGCTAAAAAGCTGCGGAGGTCACAATAACAATCCAACAACCATAATATCAAACATTCATATTGGATATCCCCAGAGCATACAAGAGTGTTTGTATCAACTTTCAACATCTGTGCGTCTGTGTATGTACACCAATGTGTGTGTCTGTGTGCATATTTATATGAACACGCATTTCTTACATTGATCTGATGTGATTTATATATGCGTTTGTGTTGCACATCTCAACTCCACTCATGCATTTTCTTAATGTAAAGTGACAGTGTGATTGTGAGTTACTTACTCCTTATTCCTTACTCTGGTGTTATCCACTCTACGGCACCAGTGTGATAACCACTGACCTGAATCGGTCTGTTTTGGAGCTTGAGAAGCTCGCTAGCCCTTCTGGCATCACACCAACCCATTGTGTCTCCCTTTGTCTTTGCGGGGAGTTTGTGATCCAGTTCTGTAGATTTTAAACCCTGTTTGCCCATTCTTCTTGCTCCCAAACACAGCTCTTTATATAGTTTGTAAATCAACACAAAACTACCTCATAAATCTTTTGGTTCTAGGCCTCTTTCATCCAAAGATATGCACAGAATTGTTGCTGAGCACATGGGTACATGTTTGGAAACAATGCACCTGTCATGCGCTAGTCATGTGATTCACCTTGTCCTCTGTATTTTGTTTTTGTGGTTGTCTGAAATATTGGTCTACATTGCTCAACCTTTTTGTCCTTGCTACAGGTATCTTGGTGGAGGACTTCCAGGGGAGAACCCTCCAGTAGCTACAGCCTCTACCCAGAGCAGAGAACGCCTCGCAGCAGTCAAACAGGCCCTGCGAGCCCTGGGCTTCAACAAGCAGGTATTGACTGGCACTCTACTCTTGACCCTGTTTATTCAAAGGCTATTGACAGCAGAAATCATTTAAAGTGTTGATGTCACAGACACTGAAATAGGAGGTCACTGATGAGATTTACCACAGATCTTTTGCTTGCTAGAGTCTGTAATGCTGCATTTACATGGATTCACGCAGATGGACAGCACCTTCTGGATGGCACGTTAAAAAAAAAAAAAAACATAATTTACAAAGCCTACCGACTGCTGGAATCCATGTGAATGCAGCATAAGTGTGTTTGAGGGGCTCGACTCTCCTAAGCATGTCAAAAGGATAGGTCCTTCAGTGAGCCTAATGGCTAGAGGCTGAACCTTCCTCTTGTCCACACTAGCAACACTAAAGGTTCATTTTATGAGCTTTTGGTCAGTTTTTTAAGTCAGATATTTCAAAATGTATTACTTGAATGTTTTCCCAGTCATACCTACTAAATAATGACATGGTCACAAGAAATTTCCCAACTTCACAAGTTGACGAGGTTTGCCCATGCTCTGACTGTTGCATAATGGATTGTGGGATACTGTGGGGGCACCATTGTCCTGTTATGACATATTTAACATACATGTGTGAATTCAGGAACCTGAATTAGGACTCATCATGTGTTAATTATCTATCTAAAGACGATATGAAATGTGTGACCAAACGCAGAAGACAGGACTTTGATTTATGCATACTGGATGCATGTAGTGTGCTTCGGTGTGTGGTACAGTCCGTTCTGTGCACTACCCGCTGTGTTCCCAGACCATTATCAGGTTCTATTCTTAGATTCCCAGTCAGCATCTGTCAGCAGTGAGTGACCACCATCTCACCTTTTAATCCAGCAGCAGCCAGTACACGCAGGAAAGGCCTAAGGGAAAGAGGAATAGAGCGATAGATAGTGGTATTATCAGAGGGGACTAGTGTCCGCTGCATAAGAGAGAGTCCAAGGGACCGAAGAAGGAGTTGGGGGAGTAGGAGTGGAAGTGATAGACAACCCATTGGTCTCTGTCTCAGTCTAATCAGGGGATGACTCCCAGTCCAGACCCAAAGGTCAATCGTCATTAACGCTCCCTATCGCTCCTTTTCTCTCCCTTGCTCCCTTTCTTCTCCTTCCTAAGTGGGGGGGGCTGACTATGTATAGAGTGTCAGGCAGAGACTAATGCTTGTGTTTATCTCCCAGATATCGGCTCCAATATCCTGCCTTGAGAGCGTGCACACACAGACATATTCCCACACAAGCACACGCCCCCAATCTCAAACATCCCCCTCTCACAGATTCAGAGCAGTGGCTACGGGGGTATTCCATTAAGTGTCCTCTACTCAAGGGCAGAAAGCAAGGGAGGGTAGAATAGAGGGAAAATAAGTGTGTGAATGAAGGGAGGAAGGTTGATGTGTCATAAAAAGCATTTTTTAAATGTTTGGGTTTTTTTACATTTTGCAACAAATGGAAGATAAAAATATATATTTTTTTTTCATATTTCTCTCTTTATTTGTCAGGAAATGCCATAAAAGCTAAAAAACCAACCATGCAAGTGTGTTTCTCAGTGTGTCAGCACCAAGCCCATTTGTTCCCACTGAAGATGTCAAGTTTTCAAAGTGGGTCATAGACATATTTTATTTTTTTTTAAATCAAATAAGATTTTACTTTTGTAGTTTTTAGCAAATGTAGTAGGTGTCACTAAATCCTACACACTGGACCTTTTTAAAAGAATTTGCATGTTCTCAAGTTGATACCGTATTATGAAGTGAAAAAAATAGAAATCCATGTTTTGATTTTGCCAAGATTTTAATATTTTTTGTCTCCCCACCCTTTCTCTCTTTCCCTCTCTCTCTCTCACTCTCTCTCTGCTAGGAGGTCGACTCAGTGTTCACGCTGCTATCTGCTGTGCTCCATATTGGGGACCTACGTTTTACTGCATTGACAGATGCTGATACGGCCTTCCCTTCTGACCTGCTGCTGCTGGAGAGAGGTCAGTGCAGTGGGGCGGTGGGGCAGGGAGAGGAGGGATGCATCACAACCTCTCATCTTATTTACCTCATTGTCATCGCTCCTCCCTTTCTCTCTGCCTTGGAGTTCTGCTTGGCAGCTTGCCAGCACTAACTAAAGGCCAGACAGTCACCTTTTTGGTAAGCTGCATTTCCTGCCAAAACGTAACCATGGTGAGGAGGGATCGCTCTTATACACACACTTTCCCACTATTGGGGTCGGTGTTTTCTCTTTCTCGCTCCCTCATTATGCAACCGCTCCATGTGCTTCTGTGACCCCTGACCTTAGCGAGATGGTAAACAAATGACATCAGTGCCTGAACGGGAAACAGCCAGTCGGTGTCAGGGAGACGTGATGTCATGACTAGTGATGTCAGCAAAGGGATTCTGTGTTGCTGTCACCTGTTTCTGCTGCTTGTTTATGGGTTCTGCTCAGAAATGCACTGATGACTAATTGCTGCCAGGTCGATTAAGTGCGAATGAGCTGTAGCTTGTTGTGCTGGCAGCATGATATCATCGTCAGAGCAGGGAAGAGCAGGTTCACATCCTGATAGTTAATGTTTAACGCTGTTATTTCTATGTTTTTCATCCTGTCATTGTGTCACCTGCCTTTATCTTTTTCTGTCTTCCTCCACACAGTTGCTGGACTGTTGCAGGTGTGCTCCAATGACTTAAGCACTGCCCTTACCTCTGACGTTCAGTACTTCAAAGGTATCCACTCATCAACCTCCACCATCACTTGGCACTCCTCGTTCCACACACATAAGCAGATTCAATCACACAAGTCACAAAGCTTATCAACTGATTAAACTTTACTGCAAAGGCAAGTTATAAATACAACGTTTAATAAGATGCAGCAACTTACTTGTTAACAAAGCAACATTAGAGTAAGATGAGCCTAATGTGTCGTGGAACTACAGTCGGGTGACTATTGACCACAGTGTTTATGGAATTAGGCATTCCATACTGGTGAAAAAAAGAAGGGGGGAAAATCACAATGGAAAAAAAAAGGTTCAGTGAATAAAAGTTTAACACAACATAAACATGTGTTTGAAGGATCCTTTATTGTGACCAAATATGTACAGACCAGAGGCATTTTATATTTTACAAAATAAACTCAGTCAGTGCTCTCTGATGGACAACATTTATTTTATGATTATATTTTTGGATATGATCAGTTCTACAAATTCAAATAACATATATGGAGATAGCGAGATATTTGTGATATCAGCAATAACATTGGCCATGCAGATGTATCGAGCTTAGTCTTCAGTAAGTCAGTAAAAATAAAAAAATAACCTTACTAGTATTGTACTATCACAGTGCTAGAAATTGTGTTGTCATTTCCCTTTTGTGTCAGGTGACGTGATTACTCGGCGCCACACAGTGGAGATGTCAGAGCAGTACAGAGACCAACTCGCAAAGGCCATCTACGGACGCCTCTTCAGCTATCTGGTCAACAGTAGCAACGACTACCTACACGGACCGGACGACAGCATTGGGTAAAGCAGCGTGTGTGTGTTCATATGTGCCTCGGGTTTATTCAGTGTAAACCACCAGACAAATTTGAAAGCACAGGCCGTTGATAACCGTTATCTCCACCAATGTAGTTTATCTGTCATCGCACAAGAGCAGTCAGTCATTCAGGGCCTCTGGAGTGACAACACTTATATTGTAATATAACGTGTAGAGTCGAGGCTCGTAATAGTTCACTTTGCCTGACAGGCAAGAAAAGGCATGATACTTAACAAACAACAGAGTGGAGATGGAGGGCACGCCCAAGGTTTATGTGGAGGTCTCACAATACACACACACACGCTCCTCTAGGTGGAGGCCACTGGATCCTTGGTGTTGTTGATGTTGTGAAGCCTTATCACACTGAAAAGATAAACCCGGTTCTATCTTCTGGAATGTGTTTGTGCTTTGCCTTGTTTATACACCAACCACAGACTGTAATAAATTTGTCAACCACAGTACTCATGGCACACCCCCTTCAGATGCACACACACACACAC